GGAGCTTTCATATTTTGAAACTTTTTAGTTATAGACCTTACTTCGTCCAAATCAGTCCCCCAAGAATCATCAAAAATATTTTCCCGAGAGAAAATATTCAGAAAATCCCGAGCAACCTGATTCTCAATAGGACTAGTAAGACCTAAACTTTAATTATGGGAACTCTCGAATTGCTTAGCAAGCTTCTGAACTTTTTCCAAATTTATGATCAAAATTTTACCACCTTCTTTAAGCGCTGGAATAGGCTTTTGAGGTTTTTTCAAAATACTTGTGAGTTTCCAAAAGGGTTTAGAAACATTATTTTCAAAAGTTTTGTTCCTCAAGGCAGAGAATTGTTTTTAATTTGTTTTTGCAAATCCCTCCAGATAACTTTCATGGCAGGATCGCGTGTTCTTTGATATTGTCTCCTACGGACATTTTTAAGACGGATCAAGAGCTGAAGATCGCCGTCTATTATAATTGAATCGAATTTAACCTCGTATTTTGGAACTGAGGCAGCTCTTGCTTCAACTATAGAAGTAGTCAGAGATTCAAGAGCATAATTAACTTCATCTTTGGTTTGCAAAGGAATGTTTGGATCGAAGTTATATTCCATAAATGTTCGATATTGCTCCCAATCAGCTCTATGGTAATTGAAAGTAGAGCTGTTGGGATTACAAATTATTTCTTGGTATATTTCAAAAGCTACTGGAAGGTGATCAGAACCGAAGTCAGCAAAGGTAACCAATTAGCTACAAAGTTGACATGAATCAGTTAAGACCAAATCAATAGTGGAGGGATTTCTTGCTGAAGAAAAGCATGTTGCGCTGTTTGGATTTCGAATAGTGAAATAACCTGCAGAACAATCATCAAACAGAATATTACCATTGGAATTGCTTTGAGCATTATTCCATGAGCGGTGTTTTGCATTACAATAATAAATAATTTAGCGAGACATACTTCAAGTCTCCGCGTACATCGTACGGGTTAGGCAAAAGATGTGCGTCTATCTTTAAAAACTGTCGCATTAATGGTCCTTCGCTCATTTTCAACTTCTATTCAATTTTCATACTGCCGTACTCTAACGGAACAATCCACCTACTCTCTTCTAAAAAAAGATCATTCTCTAGCTAATAAATTATCACACTAAAGCTTCATGTTAGCATTTCCAACCAACTCTGAAAATCGGTAACTTCGCGTATGAAGTAACATAAAAACACTTTGAAAGAATTGAGACCTATGAAGGGGAAGTTTCTGAAGGTCACCCTTGAGAAAATTCTTTTGCTGGTCTACGCATTGGAATGGCAAATAGGCAGCTATAAACGTAAGTTGTTCAAATTTTGTTTAAACAGAAACATCCAAAGTTTCAAAAACTTTGGTTTCAAATGACGAAAGAATTCTATGTTTGATTCGTCTATGAACAATGATGGCAACTCCACCACAGGGTCCATCAAGACGATCATTTATATAAATCACATAAAATGCGTCCTTCTTAACCTTATGGTCAGGTTTAAGGAACGTTTCAGTTATAACGACAATATGCACGTTATGAACTCTCAAAAAGTTAAATAGCTCGTCTTCATTATCTTTAAGAGATTGAGCATTCCAATTTAAAATATTTAATGCTTTAAAATCCATTACTGAATTTCGAAGTCATGACAATATTATTTGCAAATTTTACTCCAGTTTGAATAGCATCAAACAAGGAGTTAGATTTAAGCATATCAGAAATCATGTCAATTAATGATTTCTGTAAAAATTCCATTTTAGGGGCAGTAATGCTTCTTAAGTCAAAATTGTCAAAATTTCCGTTAGAACGTTGGTTGGTATTTTGATTTCTACCCGCTGCAATAGCAGCATAGGTAGCTCCATTAACTCGCTGAACATTGTTAGCAGCGAGGGGAGTAGGTACAGATAAAAAATTTGAATCAGGGGTGATATTTGTACCTAGGGGTACGAATGTAGAATTTGTTCCTCGCTGACCGTTGTTAACAGCAGACGAATGTGTGTAGGATCGCTTTGCGAGTCTTACATTCCCAAAAATTGGATTTGTGGTTATCACCACAATTTGAACATTTAAATTTCTTAGGATCTTCCTTCACAGGACAGTCGTCCTTTGAATGAGAGGAATCACCACAATTCATGCATTTAGCTGGCATGTAGCAATTTTTAGTTCCGTGACCCCATCCCTGGCACTTACAGCACTGAGTGAAGTTTTGGAAATTTCCTCCAGTCTTCCTGAAGTGTTCCCACTTCACTCGGACATGGAGCGTAAAGCAAGCTTTTTCTAAGGCCTTAAGGTTGTTTAGTTCACTAGACTTGAAGTGAACTAAATAAAAGTCATTAGAAATCCCGTTGCGTGAATCGTCAGGGCAGGATTTCATTTTCATGATTCAACTCCTAGTAATTTTGCCAGTTCATCTTTGATCTGATCCAAGGATTCACCGCTGGGCAGTCCTTTCACGACAACCTCGAACACGTTCAGTTTTGGTGTCGTAAGTTAAAAATTTGTGCTGCTTCTCAGTAAGATACTTGAGAAGACATTTAAATCCGTCCAAGGTTTCAGCCAATACACGGCATTCACCCGACGTCCAATTTGTAGTGAAAACTTAACTTTCACGAAATTCAAAAGTTTCATGCGAAGAGCGGTTATCACAATAGGGGGAATCTTTTCCTTCTTGGCATTAAGCCGGGAAAGTTTACTAGAATTTTTCTTGGATGATGGATCATTCTCATCATCCGTGAGCAAATCAAATTGATTGCTCAAATTAATTTCATCAGAAGGGGGGTCAAGAGTTTGCCCCTTTCTTTTGCGTTTAGGCGCCATGGCGGCAGTAAATTTTTATCCAAATCGACTTCCAAGCAGATTACTATAAGAATCTGAAGGATCGAAGAGGAATTTTCCAAATCGATATCCAAGAAGGATTACCTCGGGTAGGGTCCAAGAAAGAATCGAAGAGGAATAAGAGTTGAACAAGGTAGAAAATTTTTTACAGGTTGAGCACTGAAAAGTGCTGTTTAAATTTGTTGTAGCTTTAGGTAGTAGTAACACTTCCTTAAGCAAAAAGCAAATAGATCCGCACGGCAAGAGAGCACGATGCGGGCTGATTCACGTTTTATTTATTTAAATCAATTACCAGCCCTAATTTTTTTTGTTGATTACTTTATTTCATCGGGCTCACCCAAATTAAGTTTGGGGCTGTTCATTAACTACGTAGACAGTTTTTTTGGGATTCTTGACCAACACACCCCCCCTACCCCCCCTCCCCACCCTGTGTAGACAATTGTCCATACAAAAATTTTAAAAGTTGTATGGGCCGTGGATAATTGTCAACCCCGTCAACCCCTCCGTGAGTTTCAATGTGTTTTCAAAACAGTTCACTTTCCACGCATTAGCTCGTCATCATGCCTTACTTTCAAACATACAGAAAAGGAATATTTTTTACATTTATTTTTATTTTCATGCTGTAAAATACTGCTTTAATGTGTAAACAACACGTTAGTACGCCATTTATCCATTGGTTTCACTAATATGTTTGAATAATTGACGAAATTTGAATAGATAAATATGATCATGGTTGGACCTACGCATGATGATGATTGGACCTATGTGTTTCCTAAGACGGCCACTAGGTGCGCTTCGGTTTGTCTACATCCTTCATGCGCAGCTGATTTGAAATTCGATTTCGTTTTGGCCGAGTGATCAGTTTCTACGATTGAAAAAAATGGCTAAAAAAAAGAGTTATACGGCCGAAAATTTTCAATAGGCTGTTCTTTTAGTAAGAAATAAATCACTTACCGCGTATCAGGCACTGAAAAGGTACAATATAACGAAAACGACACTTCACACAAAAATTAAGGGAAGCCACGGCAAGAAATATGGAAGGGAAATAGTGTAGAGTGTTGATTTAGAGAACCAGCTAGCGGATCTGGTTTGTATGTGCGCTGCTTCTGGTAGTTCCAAGACGACCAAAAAGATCTTGGAAGCTGCTAAAGACCTTGCGTCACTAGTTGAGCGTAAATTTAAATGAGGAATTCCATCGTCAGGTTGGCTGAAAGGGTAACCACCGATTTCCGAACTACCACGAAAGCGCCGAAAGAATCTGTTAATATGAATTTACACTAAGCACTTCTCATACATCTTCTGTGTGTGAATTAACTTGAAATAAAATGTTAACAAACTAAAACTTGCTAACTGAAACTTATTTCCGAAAAAAAACTCCTTGGAGAAAAAGAACTATAAAACCGGAATTAAGTTCTGATATTCTGTCATTTTAAGCCCCTAGCACCCAGAACATGCCCGGTAGTGGCCAATATGGTCCAAGGCACTCAATTTTGTTATTGATCTTGTTATCGAATTTGGAAGTAATGTGAAATGTCGCGTGATAGGTTTTATTCCTTCCATGTCAAAATTAGGTCCATGTTCCATATACACTGGAATTTGTTCCGGCCATATCTTCGAAACCAGTTGACCGATTCCAAAAATATTTGATAGCTTTCAATGGGACCACAATACCTATAGTTTGATGTAAACAATTCTTCAAATCGGGTCAATGATTTTCGAGAAAATGAGCCATGATGAATAGCTAATGCGTGGAAAGTGAACTTTTTTAAAAACGAAGTTAAACTCAAATTTCTTGATTTTTTTAAAAAGCAAATTCATAAAAAAAAAACTGTATGAAAAGGGGTTTTTCATGACACCAATAATCACTAAACAAAGTTTTTGAACAAATATGGGCTAAACTAGCATTTGCAAAAATAGGTCCAACCATCATCATTTTTTAGGTCCAACCAACATCATAATTCTTTGCTGAATAAAAACGTTTAATAAAATCGTTTGTTCATAATATTTAACTTTTAATATTATTATTAGAAACAAGAAAGGTAGATCTGTCCACTAATCACGCATTTTTTATAATTATATGTTGAATTCATAAAAAAAATACGACATGAATGTTGACGTCGTGTGAAACAGGCCTAAATAGATCCAACCATCATCAGTTACCCTATTTTAAATCTTATTCTCTTTCCGACATATAACAGATAACCTTCCGACGCAAATCCTCGTCCAGGTACTGGCGGCATGCATCCGGCAGGCTAGGGCAAATGAAAGTTTCGCCACATTCACCCATGAACAGCAGAATCAAATCCTGCGACACGTTTGGTTCGAATGTTTCATCCTGCGCGTCGCTAACTGGTCCATCGATATCTCCTCCATCGTGGAAAGGTTCGTTTGCATTGATGATAGTTGGAGAACCTCAATAAATTGTTTTATTTTATGATTTTCCTCGCAAAATTTGATAAGTCGACACTTTGTTTTCTTATCACAACCAGATGTGCCGACGAGCAACTTCGAACGATTGTTCAGCACACAAAAGCGCTACAAGTGGATCTAATTGAACTTTCTCTGCTGGAGACGATGATACTTTGCCGGAAAGGTAAACATCTAGTTTTATTGAATAGCTTGTAGCTTGTAGGACTCATCCGATATGGACGTTGTCCACTTTGGTGGCAAAACTTTTCCAAAGTCCCATTTCTTTCCCCTCTATTCTCCCGACTCAACTGGGCAGGGTTAAATCCTTCTAACCCATCGTTTAATCTCTCGTCCCCTCCAGAGTACGCCCTGAGTGCGAAAGAAGCTCAACAACTGGAAAGCACATCCGAGACAGCATTGATCGCCTTAGGCCACTACAGCATGCAACAGATGAGCATCGTTGGTCCTCCGTCTGCAACAGCCGCAGCAGTAGTGTCATCATCGGTATCTTATCCGAGCAAAACAATTGTTGCTGCCACTAGTACTAGTGCGCCGATGCCCAACAGTGGGGCTAGTTGCACCATACCAATGTTCCTACCGTTTTCGTGCTACCGCTTGGGCAGACTGCTGCTCGGGTTAAGAGGTTTATCTATGCACTGCTACGAATCATCGGTACGTGCCATGTTTCATGAGGTCACCGGCGATGGTCTAATGGAACACTTTATAACCAAATTATAGAAAGAGCGAACGATACGTGCGGGGTGTTTGTGACAACGTTTTGTGATATTTCCATGTAAAAACAAATGTACTTTTGAAAATTATGTGTATTTTAAATATATAAATCTTTATACATAGTCAAGGGAAAACTCTCTGAAATAATACAAGACATTCGACAGAAAAATAAATAAAACCAGTTTTATGAAAAAGAATACGCACACAAAGAAGGTTCCACTACAAAATCGCTTCAAAAGCGTTGTTTTTCAAATAAAAAATCTGTTCACATCTGTCAACAATGTAAGAATTCAATTATCCTAAATATATATCTCTTTCCTTCTCTTTTACACGAAGCTGCTTGTTGCGTGATCCAGATAAACGCTTCTCGTCTGTGACTGCTTCTGCTGCTGTGATTGGGACTGCCGTTCCAGCGAGCCCCCCTGCTGCCCGGACGATCGTCTTTCTCTACCACTGCTGTTACTATTGCTACTACTTACACCATTTTGACTACTACTACTATTACCACTAATACCGTTCCCGTTTGAGCTAGTAGATAGGTTACATAAGCTGGTGCTCATAGTGCTACTGCCGTTGTTGGAGCCCGGTGGCGCGTGACCCCAGTTGGACGGTTTGATGGGAAGAATTTTTGGCTTCGGTGGCAAAGGTGGCGGCCCTTTCAGATTATCCGCATCGCTGCTACTACTGCTGCTGGTGCTGGTGCCAGTGTTGCTACTGTTGGTACTGCTACTGCTGGCACTGCTAGTGCTTGCCGTGAGGTTATGATGATGCTGCTGCTGCTGTTGCTGCTGTTGATGATGGTGAGCCATGCCATGATGATGGTGGTGGTGGTGGTGATGATGATACGGATGGTAGTTGCCAGAGGAATTTGTGATGCTGCCATCCGGTAGTTCACTACTGCATCCGTTGGCGGGTAATGATGGATCGTAATGATCACCACTGCCGAGGTGAAAGTTCGATCCTCGATGGTGAGCCGTACGGGAAGATGGTGACAATTCGGGTGAGTTGCATGCATTAGCTGGGCCGTGGGTGAAGACCAAGGTGGTGTCTGGAGGAGAAATAATAGCAGAAGGGAACATTGTTGTAATTCGAGACTTGCTTCTATGGAACATTATAATAGTTTCACATGATGAACAAAGCCAAGCATCCACAATGTGGATTCCACATATAGTGCTACCTCAGCTGCAGCTTCCGTGTTGACTAATGCTATTTACAAGAATTTGAATGAAGCATCTTAAATGTTATTGCATCTTCTCTCTGGCATATTGAATTGCAATTGGAACTTACTTATTTGTCATATGCAATATTAGGCCCTTTGCGATGAGAGGCAATCACGCTGGACACTACACCACCGGCGCCGCTATCGCTTCGACTTGGTTACATAATTTGGCCCCTGGTTTACCTATGTTATTTTATTTTTTTTTCATATAGCTTAAAGTTCAACTTTGAAAAAACCGTTTCAACTAACCCCGGTGTACCTAAATTCCAGAACAACATGTGAAAAGGGCATACAAGCTTTTTGTAAACAAACCTTCTTATGCCCTTTTCTCGCCACCCATATGACACCAACGCAAACCTTTAACATCACCGGGTAGGGGACACTTTCCCCTTCCCGATGATATTGCTGGTTTGCGTGGGCGACCCTCGGTTGGTGAGAAAAGGGCCTACAAATGTTTGTTTACAAAAAGCTTGTATGCCCTTTTCACATGTTGTTCTGGAATTAGAATACCTCATCAAAACAAAAGCGACAATTGGTATAGAGCAGTTCCACGCCAACCGGCGAATCGATTTTATTTTTGATGTAAGATTACGTTTTTCGACAACATATTGGGGGTGCAATTTCAAAAATCCAAAATCGACCGCGTTACGAAAAGTGGTCAGGGTTTGACCACTTATTACTCTGTCAATAGCGGATGGATTTTAATTCTAAAAAAGCCAATCGGTTGGTAATTTTTCTACAAAGCTGCTAAAATGAATACTTTATCAATTTTCAATAAGTCACTTTTGAAAATTACACAAATGTCCAACTGTTGCAATGGTGATCAAAATTAGCACCAATTGCCTGCAAAAAGTGGTTTGCCTAACATAGTCGCCAAACCTTAATAAAAAAATACCATACCCGAAAGATAACCAAAATGGTCGAACTATTGCACAAATGGTTTTGATGATAACCTGAACACGTCGTTAGTCAACATAACCATACAAATTGTATTAGGGAATATTGATACCGAGCACGGTCACTACGGTCAAGTTTTGGATTCAACCTCTTAATTTTCCTCACTGAATTCCATGAAACTTCGCCTAACTGTTCGCCCCCCTCCCATTTTTGTGCCGAAATTTGGCCATTTTGACTATCGCTTAATTTTTCAAAATGGCGTATTTAATATTTTTCAATACATAGCACGAAAACGGCATCATCTAATTGAAATGATGTCTCAGACAAACTTGTAAGAAACTTGTTTGCCTTTAAAAAAAAACATACACACCAAAACAAATCATAAATTTTCATAAAAAATTTAAAAAAAAAACTGACAAAAACTGCAATAACAAAAAAGTACATTTTTAATATTTGAATAGGGTAAGTGTACCAATTGTTTGCCCAAGATGTTTCCATTTAAGCCCTATCTTGAATTTCAATTTTATTCATTTTTCACCAAATTTAATTCTATGCAAGGCGAGAACATAGATTATGACATATATCTATTTATTTTAAATTTGAGTTAGTCACTATGACCATAACTGGTACATTTACCCTACTTTATGTTTATTTGAAAGCTTATCAAAAATGCAAAAACAATTTTCTGGACTAAAAACTATGTTTTCTGCATGAAAATCAATAACAATTATTTGTGGAAATAAAATCAAAAATTGTACTAAAAGTTGATGTTCCACAATTTAGGACAATTTTGAAGTCTAGACTAACATTTGAAAATGGCGTAATTCCATAATGACCATATCGAGAAAGTCACTTCCAAATTTTGACGACCTAAAAATTAATCCTATTTCACGACTTTCCATTTTCTGGATGATTTTATAAGCTTGTCATATAGTCAATAGTGTAATCTATCATCATGCATCACAAAAAATTCAAAACAAAAGCTTTCTTTATCATGAAATTGAGAAGAAAACATCATACCAGGCATAACATTTGATAACGGCACAAAAGCATTTGTAAACAAACATTCTAAGGCCCTTTACACGCGAACCAAAGTATGCCAACGCAAACCAATACCACTTTCGGAAAGGTGATAGTTGTCCCTATCCGATGATGTTATTTGTTTGCGTGGGCGTACTTTGGTTCGCGTGTAAAGGGCCTTAGAAAGTTTGTTTACAAATGCTTTTGTGCCGTTATCAAATGTTATGCCTGATACGCCCTTATAATTACGGATCTTCCGCCCTTTGAACTGCCAACACTGGTAATACGCCAGTACACCCTCGGATTTTTTTTTGTTAGTTGTTCCGCCTTGGTTCTTCATTCGCAAATTTTGTGAGAGTGGAATTACGCCCGGAGATTTTTTTGGTCTTCTTTTATTCGTTGTTTACACGTGCAATATCAATTGGATGCATTCCAAATGAGTCGGGCGTGACTAGATACTACAGAATCAGTACGTTTGGCATATTAAACCAGATGCATCATAGAGTTGAAAGTTGGAAATGCGCCATGTAAGAAGTAACGTTTTTGTTGATTTGAAGTGATATTTCTTCTAATTTTTCGTGTTTATCGCGTAGTTTGTAAACTGTTCTCTCTATATGTGGCAAAATATGGTTTGTTTACATTCTGGCTCTTCCGCCCCTTTCAAATGTTAGTCTAGAAGTGTCCATTTCAGAAAAGTTAGCAATTTTGATAAGCACGCATGATGAACATAAGTTTTTAAATTTGAAAAAAAAAAACAGAGTGGACAGTGAGTTTTCCCGGTTCAAATCACAAAAATGTCCCGATTGTTACTACACTCAAGTATTTTTTTTACACGGAGCCGAAGTAAACTCCAAATAACGAGTTTATTTTTTGCGATCCTGGGAAATACTATCAAATACCCAACAATATATGTATTTTTGGAATCAGGGTGATGTGTAGGGACCGGAAATCCATGTCTGATGCCATTTTGATATCAAGATAGTGGCTTCCGGTTATAGAAAAAATGAAAAATACTGTCAAATACCACACAATATGAGTATTTTTGAAATCTAGGTGACGTGTAGGGACCGGAAAACTATGTCTAACGCCATTTTGAAATCGTTACAATATGCCGGTTGGAGAAAAACTGAAAAATACTGTAAAATACCCCACAATATGGGTATTTTTATAATCGGGGTGACGTGCAGAGTCTGGAAATCGATGTCTGACGCCATTTTGAAATCAAAGATGGCAGCTTCCGGTTTCATAAAAACTTGGAAATTCTGTCAAATGCCCTTCGATATGGGTATTCTTGGAATCAAGGTTACGCGTAGGGACTGGGAAGGCATGTCTGACGCCATTTTGATATCCAAGATGGCGTCTTGCGGTTAGAGAAAAACTGAAAAATACTACCTTATGTGCTTATCCTTGACCGATACGCGTATTTCGTCTACAATGTGCAAAAAATACTGTCAAATACCCCACAATATGGGTATTTTTGGAATCGAGGTGACGTTTAAGGACTGGATGCCATTTTGAAATCCAAGATGGCGGCTTGCAGATACAGAAAAACTTGGAAAAACTGTCAAATACCACACAATATGGGAATTTTTTGGAGCCGTGCTTACGTGTAGAGTCCGGAAATCGATGTCTGACGCAATTTTGAATTTCAAGATGGTGGCTTTCAGTTAGAGAAAAACTTGAAAATTCTATCAAATACCCATCAATAGGTATTTTTGGAATCGGCGTGACGTGTATGGACAGGAAATCCATGTCTGATTCCATGTTGTTATACATTTCCGCGACTTGGTGTCTTCGGCAAAGTTTCTCATTATAATAAGGACCATCTATTGACATAAACAAATAGTTCAAAATTCTTCCGCAAAGATGCCGTAGGCTGTGGAGTTTTGACGCCATTTCAATGTATTAAAAAAAAAATTAGGAAAAAAAACATGTTCCACTGAAATTAAGAAATCTCAAAAACACCAACATATACCTCTCTCACAGACAAACAGACATAACACATTGAATATTTCTCACTGTAAAACATCGTCGCTAAAACATTACCGCCATCTGTTCAATACACTGTGGTGGGTAGTACCATAGAGGTAACTCTAAGACAAGAAGGTCCCGAAATAACGTGCTCAACTTTTTGGCTCAGCTCTGGTTCTCGCTTCGGTCCAAAGCTAATCGATTCACCCCTCGAAACATAGGAAAATCCACTAACCCCTCATTTTATCTGTCAAACTTTCATAGCTAATCAAAACAAACATTGTGTAGTAGTAGAATTTCGACAAGAATGGGGTACGTTAATCGTTTGCTTGGGACCAATAGGCTAGTCAAGTAGTGAGCCAATTTAAAATCGTTAGTTTCGTATTGATTGTTGGTAGTACGCTGAACAGATGGCGGTAGTGTTTAAACGTCAAACGCAAGGGAATTGAATATGCGCGCCACAGGGTGCGGTACTACCAACTACGATACTTTTAAATTGACCGTTAAATGCTTGTTCGATGACAACTTTCGAGTGTTATGTCTGTTTGTCTGTGCCTCTCTCATATTTTGATATCTTTTTTATCGAGTATTGCTTAATTTTTACTGAAAATGTCAGGTTGCTATTTTTTGCGCTTTGGAAGATAATAAAGTTACAAAATTGCTGTATTTTCGTTTTTTCAACAATATCTTTAAAATTTGAAGCTTAAACCGGTATGTTTCTTTACAAAAGTTTTTTTTATATGGATCTGCATAAGAGAAAAATATAACATTATATGGTTGTATGCAAAAAAAACGAAACAGAAAGAAAAAACCATATTTTCGACATTTTTTTTTCTTTGACTCCTTATAACTTGGAACCAGTAGGCTTTTACGTTTTCAAGATAAAAAACTTTGCCGAAGACATCAAATCTCAAAAACGTCAGAGAAAGAAGTTATATTGTGGCTCCATCTATGCGGAAGAGTTTTGAACTATTTGTTTATGTCAATAGGTGGTCATAATTATGATGAGAAACTTTGCCGAAGACACCAAGTCGCGGAAATGCTTCATTTCGAAGTTATTAATTTTGCTCCGATAGATTGCATTCCTGGCCCAGTGTGCAATGTGATCAAGGAAACATTGTTGCAAATCTTGAAGCAGGAGAGGATTTAAGAAAATTTCTATAAGGCTTTTTTTAATTTATGTCTTATACAAAACATTTAGATTTACTTTTAGAAAAACAAAAACGGAATCGTATTTTTTAACAATCTGGGGCTGAGAAAAATCCTCAAAATGAGGGATTTTGAATAATTTCAAGATTCTAGATTTGACCAAATCAATCAAATGGTCAAATTTCAACGCTCTGGAAGTAGTAAGAATGTTCAGGTTTCAAATGTTTTAAAGAATAATCTATTCTATTCTGACGCAAATACCTTAAATTTTTGAGGAAAATTTAAGTGTTTATTTCAAAGATGTGCTGGAAAGGATTCCTTCAAAATTCTCGGAAATATTTTAAGGAGATTTGTCAACCTAATTCTGAAATGATGTCCGATGGAATGCTGAGATGGATTCTTATGGATTTCTGGGGGATAGAAGTTGTGAGGAGAACTTCATGGAGGGCGGGGAGATACTCCTCACCTTCCCTCCAGAAAAGGGAGTTTTTGGTAAAGCAAATGATTAATCCGATTCAAGCTTTCCTCAAAGTTGACCTTTGCTCGCTTTCTACTCTCTGTAAACAATTTTCAAACTGCCGTACTCTAACGGAACTATCAACTCTATACATTCATCTCCTCATCTATCGTATAAAAATAACACTTTAAATCTGATATTTGTCGATAAGCATCTTCAACTATGTAAATCGTTAACTTCACGCATGGAGGAAAACATACCTGATAAGTTAAACAAAATAATTTGTTTTTTACCGTTATCAAAATAAAAGAATTCTCGTATTTTAAAAACATTCCAAAAACTTCAACAGTGCTCCGTTATTTGTGTGACTACGAAATATTATAATATTTCACTACTACTAAATAAGCTTTTTACCGATTTGTGCTAATATGTTTGGTATCTAATTGCTGGCAAACAAAATGAAGTTATTTTTCAATCATCTCATCAACAAACCTGCTGCGAACAGTATTTCTTATTTTAAATACAATTAGGGACATATGAGCAAGGGTAAAAGTTTACCTACATTTTGTTCAAAAACTCAATTTTATATTTGCTTCAAGGCTCAGGGGGAGGGCGCGGTTGAACCCTAACCCCCTCTCTTCACTGCGCCAATGCTTCACACTCTTTGAATAAACCATGTTGGGCTTTCGTACAGTTTTCATGGTGTGAATCGAGCTAATCTGAAACCATGAATACAAACTTAAATGGTTCGTTCATTTTTTCCTCGATTTTTTGTAAAATCATGGGGACATTACTTTGACTGTCCCACACGGGTATTTTTGTGCGTAGAACATGTCCTACCTGTTCCACTCATTTCCAGCGCCTCTGATAGAGCGATTGGAAAAATTACTGGTATTCTATCTCTGACATTTTCAACTCTTCACATACTACGCAAACGTTGTAAATACTACAATTTCTAGCTAATTATTTCTAACTAAACACACGAATACTGAATGATTCCAAATCTGATCTACATGAATGATCAAAACGTTACGCAAAAGGCTAAAATGAAAAGAAACGTAGACTCTACTTCACATACAATGCCTCATAAACGACATATCGAAAGAATAGTGCTACTGATGGCAGTGCAAAACAAAAACAAAAATGACACAGAGTACCCTAGAACCATACTGATAAATACCATATTTTATGTAGGGTATCGTTGTCCGGCCTTACATTTCAAGAAGGCTCCCTCACTTAACACTCATGATCATCTCGATAACACTTGAAAAGCTTCCTGTTTTAACATTGGAAAATTAGAAGAAAATTTCAATAATCTCTCACAATCATCGAACGGTGCGTTCAACCTACCCGCGTAGCTATTCTCCGACTGGGACCCATTTCCATTATCGTCCAGCATCAACGGGGAAGCGTTGCACCGTAGCGAAAGGTTATTCAGATTGCTTTCGCTGGATGCCGACTGAACGGGCCCACAGGGTGACGTTGGACTGCCCCCGCTGCCTGCGCCCAAACCTCTGGTACTGGTGATGGACAACCGTGGTGCCGGTTGAGGTTTATTGATTTGCTGCAGCGATCCACCATTTGTACTGGAACCCAGTGGGAACTCAACTGAAGAGCTGGTAGTGAATTCCGGTCGTTTGACGCCCGGTTTTCGCGAGAGCTTCGAAGGTTGGGGACCTCCGATGGACGCTGAGGTCGTCGTCGTAGCCGGCGTCGACTGGCCACCGGTTGTAAAGTTTTCCTTATCTTTAAGAAAATCGGGCAGCTCAAAGTTGATTTCGGTACCGCGTTGATCCTCCAGGCGGGACCGCTGAGCACGTTTGAGTCCTTCGAGAAGTTCTAGAAAATAAAAACCATTAGAACCGGTTCTGGTTTAACAAATCCAGTAAATAGATAAATTACCATCATTCTGCGATCGCATAGGAATTTGCAGCTTCACACCAGCTTTCAGTTTGGCAATAATAGGCTTCTTGGTGCCAACGTTATTCACACTTTCGCCACCATCATCGGATCCTGCGGTAGAGCATTTCTTGTTTTTCGCTCCTCGACCGCTTTCCGATGGGGCATTTGACCCCCTTCGGCGGAATCGATCCCTTCGCGTCGACGAACTATCCGAGGTGCAGTCTTCCGGGACTTTCCCGTTGACGATTTTCCCATTCATCAGCTCGTTGAATACCTTATTGGTAATTTCATCCAGCATGTTCAGTTCTTGCTTAGTATCATCCTTCGGATCTTCCTTGCTCTTCAATTGCAAGTTGTTATTGTTGTTGTTGTGCGATTGATTCATATACATGTGTTGTGATTTTTTAGCTATATAGTTGGAAGCACCCCCATTAGAGGAAGGCATCGCAAAACTGTGGGGCTGGGATTGTGCCTGCTGATGGTGCAGTTGCTGCTGGAAATGGTTGATAATCTGCTGGTGCTGAGAGGTAGCGATTATAGGAAGCGGAGGTGCTTGATTGACGTATGCTCTTTCCGAACGGGATGCGATGGTTCGCGTTAGATCCTGATGGAATTCACTCTCGTTTCCATTGCGGACCTGCAACCACAGCCCATCGACACTCGTCACCGGATAGGTCATATCCAGATAGGCATCCTTAGAATAGACGTTCATCTGATCCAGTTCGTAGTTGTACTTCAGTAAAATGGGCCGCAACACATCTCCCAGCGGTTTGGTGGCCTTACTTTTGACGGAAATCATTTTTCTATTCGGTAAACTCAACTTGAACACCACCCGTTGATCGATGTTCACTTCCTTTCCGGCAAGACTAGAAGACGGACCGTCCAGATCCAAAGGCTTGTGGTTACCTGCCAGGAACGCTTCGTACGCATTGTACACGATGCCTCGCTTATCGAGCAACCGTTCGACTAGTTCCTTGATGGTTTCATTGGAGCGTGTCTGAACCACCGTCGTTGCTCCATTCGATAATATCACACGGCACAAGGTGTTGCGGGTGTCGTCCTGATCGTACGACTTGCCAATGGCGGCATCAAAACTAAAAGATTTATTCAAACGGCATTAGTAATTGATAGCTAATAGCATATCTTTATCAGACTCACCTGGCTAAGGAACTTCTAGAACTATGAATATCACTAGTAGAATTGGTCGAAAGGACCTTCAACGTATTACTGCTACCTCCGGTTCCACCTCCATTGGAGAGTGAAGATTTTCCGCTTTCCTTCCTCCCCTCCTGGTCCGCACGGTCCTTGGACTTGCACCTCGTTTTGCGGTGCCATGGAAGCAAGGACTTCCGCCGTCGGTCCTCCGCGTTACTCAACGACTTCTTCAGCTTGGTTGTGCTTTGCAGGGCAAAGCCAGTTCGCAGCAGCGGATCCAACTGTTCTCCAGGATAGGGCAACGGATGTCCCTTTGCTTCTGCATCCTGACACGTCTTGTACATGTCCGACTTTATGAAGCGTTGGTAGCTATCGAATTTCATCAGATTGAAAATCTGCTTCTGCGCGGCCGCAAACAGTGTCGGTTCCGCCTGCGGCAAATGTTCCTTGGCGATATTTCGCGCAATCGAATCCACGTTGACTGGTTCACTGCAGCCGGATTCCAGGTGCTTGACAAAGATGGCTTGCGCTTCCTTGGCCCGTTCCTCGCACTCGGTAATCTGTCGGTAGCGCTCACATGCCGTCCAGAAGTAGATGTTTTCAGCGGAGAACTCCTTCTTGAGAAATTCCTGTGGGCACAAAGAGTTTTGTTAGAAATCGCTAGCAAATAATTAATACCTAATTCTATAAACACTCACCGAAAAAGTGTGCAGACCAGCTGCATCCTCCAACAGTTTCTCGAAGGACGTTCCCCACGAAGCAACCCCAGGTGGGCCACTGTAGCCACTGGCCGTACCACCGGTAGTCTGCGTTGAATCCGCGGTCACCGTACTGGCAGCCTCGGCGTACGGATTGTAACCGCTCTTCGTCGAACTGTAGTCATCGTCGATGGACTTGGTGTAGACATCGCTCTCCGAGGCTGCCAACGAAGAGGGCCTTCGGTGGGACGAACCGGGCGTTCGCTGGTCTCCGGACCGGGACCGCAGCGATGATTGACCCCAGCGACGGAATGGGGAAGCATTGTGGTTGATTTGTTTGTTCTGAAATTAATAATTAACGGCGATAAATTAACGCGAGTCGTAATCGGACGAATTTTTTTTAATTTTGAAATGATGGACATTGCATGATGCGCTCCTACATTGGTATTTGGCTAGGACATTTGGTAACGCGAGCAGAGAAATAAAACAAAATTTGATATTTTGATATAAGCGTTCTTAATAACATGATTTGACAACCGTGTGGTCAAGTTAACAGCAATCATAACAAAGCATAGATCTAAATGGTATCTGAAGGATGTTAAAAGAATATTAATCTAGCTTTCATGATCACTAATCAATGTATGCGTTTTATATTGGTGTTTGTGAATAATAAGCAAAAAAGTACAATAACAATATTCGACGATCTATTAGCATACAGTGTATCTCAAAATTGATCGTACAGCAGTACTTAAATTTTAGAAAAACGGCTCTAAAGGCACAAGTTAAAAAGATACGTCTCTGAATGTTTGACAGCTGACTCAGCATATATTTATCAATTATTGGCTCAGTATTCGGCAGTTTTGGTTGAGTTTTCAAAAAGTTAGAGCAATTTAAGGAAAACGCAATTTTCTTGAAAAACTTTTTTTTTTTTAATAAAATGAATGTAACTTCTGGAAATTTTGCTCATTTTTAGTCGTAATAAACATCATTCATCTGCCACTAATTTTACTAAAATTTGTCCACTAGGTAAAAAGTTGTAAATCGAGCGTTTTATTAAAATAAATCTAACTTCTTACAGGCTCCACCAATAAAGACCAAAATTATAGCAATAAATCAATAAGTATCTGCAAGCAGCAAGTATCCTGCTTTATTTTCCCATAGCTATTATTTTATTAAAACCCACTGCAATACTTCTAAGAATTACTTCTAGAAGTTATTTGATAACAAGTTTATTTCGACTTAAACAATAAATGAAAGTTTAAAAATAGCTTTCAGTGGTAAATGTACATGCTCTTTTCATCAAATAGGGGAAATGGCTCTAATGTTGGCCTATGGATCTAAGATTGGGTCCATCGCTAAAAATCTGTTATTTATCAATTTTTTCTAGATGATCGCGTCATTGCAATTGAGACGGTACTAATGGATATTTTTGGTCGCCATTGAAAATTTATTCGATATATATTATTATTTTGAAAATATTATGCTATCCGATTTTACTCGGGAGCCCTACTAGAAAGGTAGCGTTCACGAGCATTGCAAAGCTTGAATTGATGAGCTTGTTACACCGCGCTTGTGAAATATTTTACCATTACACCGTAGAAAGCTCTCCGGATGCTCGAAAGCACCTACAAGCTACACGGTCGTTCAGACCAACTCAATTTCTTCAAATGTGGATTTACTGAAAAGTGAGTTGAATTTTCCAGGCTTTTTTAGGAAAAACCGTGAAAATTTTACTCAGTGGAAGAATACACTAATAGACTGAGTGAAACCTCTATCGATTTTCCTCATATCCGAGAAGTTTTTCCTGGAAAAGCCCGTGAGTCGGTCAGATCATCCGTGCACGCACAAGCTATGCTTCACCCAGAATCAATGAGAAGCATTGCGGAAACCGATGCGATATCATATATCATGTAAGAATGGATTAACCAAGGTTGCAGCTCATTCCGAAGATGTTTCACAAATAAGGTTGGATTACATCGTAAGACTTTTCAAATTGTTACAACAAATTCAATCGTATATGATGTTAATTCAAATCGTTTAAAAATAAATTAAAATTTGCACGTATATGGCCGCCACTTTTGTACGCGTAGGCCATGTTTATGCATTCTTTACGATTTGTTTGTTTGTTTATATGTATGTGTATCACAAAAACAACTTTGAATATATGTGCATTCTGTTTGACTGGGTAGTTTTCAAATGAGACTATTTTGGGGCTCAAATTGGGTTTAAAAATGTGGTTACCTATTTATCAGGGTGGCGACTGAATTTAAGAAATTAAATTCCCGGTTTTCTGCCGGTTACCCATCATATTTTTCCCGGTTTCATACAAGCAGCTAAATATGGTAAAAAAGGATCACCGGATTTATTTCAGCAATTTATGTCACTGAAAAAAAGTAGTGGCATTTTATTTGGAATGCAGAAAATCGGAGAAACCTCCCTCCCTCTATTGATCATCAAAGTAAATTTCCAGAGATTCAAAAATTTCTATGTTTTCAGTTTAGATAGTTCTATCAAGTCAGAAACTAGAAATGTTGCTAAAAGGCTAATTATCATGCAAATTTTTCGAACACCACTAGGCTGTATTGATGGATTGAGCAATTTTTTTTTTAAATCATAAGATCCACGGAATAAGATTTGATTTCTCACAATAGGATTTTTTAACATTACAACATTTTCAATCATTTCAAATATGGTGTATTTTATAGATCTCATATTTAAAAAAAATGCTCTTGGACTTTGCAATATTTAAGGATTCTGACACTCTGAAGCATTGGATAGAGATTTCTGATGGGAATGCCAAAGCAGTTTTGAAGAAAATTGTAGATGAACTCTAGGGATGACGATAAAGGAAGTATGGAGAGACTTTCAATGGAACTTGAACAGAAATTTTAGATAATTTTGAGAATTATTTCACGAAAATTATAAGGTTAACTACATAAGATTTATATTATGGGAATTATGAGTAGTGTTCAAGGGAACACAAAACCATATAGGAAGGGATTTAAAGAAGCATTCCAAGGAAATTCAGCAGGAGATGCAAATGCGGAATGATATGACTACAATCCTGAAACTACACCTAACGATCACCTACGGCTGAAAGTTTCTTAGTGTTGGTTCTTAATATTCTTTGGTCGATGAATCAAAAAGAAATTTTGATGAGAGCTGCAACAAAATATGAATAATAATTCCAAGGGAATCTAAAGCTCAATATAGCGAGAAAAAAATCTGAACAGAAGTTTAAGCTAGTTTGATGATAGTTTCCGGAGTGTTCCTAGAGGATTTAATGACAATTTTGAAGAAATATCAAAAAGGTAGGGAGGATTTGTCTGAAAATTTTGAGCATATTTTCATAAAGACATAAATTCTACGGAGGGATTCCAAGAGATCTTCTTCTTGAGCATTCAAGGAAATTCTGAAGGAAATTTTTATTGAACTCTGAGGTGAAATCCACGAATGTTTTGGGCTAACGCTTTTTTATATTATAAAAGGCACATCACAAAATTTCCAGGAATATTCCAAGCGAATTGTAAAGATGGATGGATGGAGAAAAGTAAAGCAATTTCTCACTTTAAGAATACAAAGACGCATGTAGAGTTAATTCCAAAAACTGTTATGCAATTCCTAAAGTGTTCTGTACCAACTTCTTACTTTTATGGTAGAAATTTATAGGAATTACCGGAAAAAAAAACATAAGAAGATTGAGGTGAATCCAGAATATAAAAGTAATTCTGAAGCCATATTTAAATGATCATATTCCTAACGTGCAAACATATCTTGAGATAAGCTTCAAAGACATAATGTAGTTAAGTTTTCGATTCCATACAAAAATTTAAGATCCAGGATTAACAAAACATGTCAAGATTCAGAGACTTCAACAAATTGCAATTTTAATAAAAATTATATGTTAAAGTTCCAATCAAATTTCCAGTTATTTCCCAGTTTTTCCGGATGATATGGAATCCCGGTTAGTTCCCAGTTCTCCCGATTTACACGATCCTGATTTATGCCTGGAAAGTGCTTGTAATGAACACTCATAACAATTAAACGTATTGTGATTAACTTTTTAAAATACGTAAGCTCCAAGAGGGAATCAACTCTGGACACCTCAATCTGTGCCCATAGTTTTCACTGTGCCGAAAGCTATGCCAAACGCTTTGTCGAAGCTTGTCAATCAAGTATCCCATGAGTTTGGCAAACCTGAAGATTTAATGACTTTTGTGATTGTGCAAGAAAACGAAGCGTGATAAAAAAGATTATGAATGCAGCCTCAAATCACTGCTGCTGCACGGAAATTTCACCAGAATAAGCAAACCACACCAAATCTGTACTAAGAAGACTGATCGTAGCCCTGGTGCATGCCGGTTCCTTAGCTATACCCCGTCGGATGGATTCCAGAGAGCTGAATGTGGTTCTTCATCCGTGGCGTTGACTATGGAACAATATAACAACGATAACAACTGCGAGGTGGAACTGTTCAATCGGCTGCAAGCGGAGGACGGCTACATGAAGATTAGCGGGGATTTTGAAAAAAAAAAGTTTATCGATTTCCTCGAGGTGTCGAATGTGATTCTGTTGTATGCCAAGGGTAAGGTTCGAAGGGGTTAAGGCTCGGGTTTAGGTTGTTGAAATGTATTCAGGTATACCTTGATGTAACGTAACTGTTACTTTTGACTTCCATCGCTGATTTCTAGCTACCAATCTTTAAATCAAGCAATTTAATAACACCATCGAAAATATGAGACAATCATCCATCTTTTGTTCATGCCAATTTGAATAATTGAATTGTTATTTGTGAGATATCCACGATGAAAAAAGGTATCACAAATCTAAAAAAAAATCCTATTTTTTCAAAATTTTCAAGGAAAATTCACGTGCAAAAATATTTTTTTATAAATCATTATGGCGTAAAGTTGGACTCAAAAAACCACAAAACATCGAATTTTCGGTTTTGCTGAGCGTCCAATTTTTTTTCATGATGAGATAGAAAAAAATATTTTACATGTAATTTTTGATAAAAATCTAAGGAAGAAACCGATTTTCTTGGATTTTTGGTAATTTTTATTTTTTTAGAAAAATAAAAACGTACTGATAATTTTTTTTTATTTCCGGTCCGGTAAACATCCCCTTACAGAAAGCCTTTCTATTATGTCGAAGACTGCGCAATAGGGTATCACAATATTTATTGAACAAATCCTGATTACTTAAACAGAGTGAGCTACCGGTGGCTATGAAGATCGCTCATCCGAGGAGGATGATTTGTATGACGCTATGTATTTGGCCACCGTGCCTGTGGAATTGACCCATGTAAACCATGATTTCTGATATTGTCGCTACCGGAAACG